CAGAAAGCTAAGGAAGCAAGAGGGGATATACTGAACAGTTAAATGATCAACAAGTGTGAAAGCTGACATACTTGTAACAGGAATACAGGAGAAAGGGATCTCAACATAAGGGATTTCTCCTATCCAAGTCCTAACTAGGCCCAACACTGCTTAGCTTCCAAGGTCAGACAAAATCAGGCACATTTGGGGTGATGGGGCTATAGACCACAAAGCATTTCTAACAGAAAGAAAGAGAACAGTAGGTATAGTTAAATATATATAATTATCATAATTTTTAAGAAAGCACAGTTCAAAAAGGTTAAAAAAAAAAAAAAAGGTATGACCCCCTCATGGCTTAGGCATGAAACAGCTCGTAACTGATGGCTCCTTTTAAGTTCCATCTAAATACCCATACATAATTCCAACAGAGAGAAAGAAGTATCCAGCGTGGCTGCAGAGTACTCTCTGCAGAGTAGTTAATGGGTTAAATTAGGACGAACATGACAGAAGGGCAAAAGCACACAACTACAGTATTAGGAATTGGAACGCTCAGGAAAAAAACTGAGACTTAAAAAAATCTGCTTGAAGATAAAAGCTTTTATAGCTACTTTCAAGTAAATGATTATTATTCCATCTTACATAATGCACAACATTTGATAGTTTATATATGTTTCACATACTTTACCTTGTGATACCTCTTTGAAAGTCAACAGGGTAAATATCTCTTTTGTAGACAAGAAAATCGAAGCACAACGTGGTAATGCAACTTGCCCAGCAGCTCGTGGCTATTAACAGGTGGAGCAGGAATTAGAAGCCAGGTTCATACTCTCCTACTCAGTGCTGTCTCCACCGTAACACACTATTTCTCCAACAGAACAAGGAACTAAGAGTCATTGCTCAGAGGCTGGTGCTAAGGTTGAGAAATCACACAGAAAGACAGATGGCTCAACTTGTATTTTGCTTATCTTCTCCAACAGTTTTAAATGAAAACTGCAGAAAGCCACTGAAAACTGACACCTGAGCCTCATGACCAAGAGACTGTAACTACTTTATGTGAGTTTGAGTCTCTGGGCCCAGATGCAACCCATTCCATACTACTAAAGCAATTTGCAAATGTAATCACAAAGCTGACTCCCATAATCCTGGAGAAAGAGCTCAAAAAGACAAATATAATCATGGCCTGGAGATCTGTAGAGCTGCTTCAAGTTCTGGGGGCTAGAGAAGCAGGAAAGCAAATTTCAGAAACTACAAATATAAAATAATGAAGCAAATGCTTTGTGAAGAACTAGAGAAGAATGTAATGATCACTAGATGTCAGCAGGAATTCAAATAATAATAATGCCTAGTCAAACACATTTACACCTGGGAAAATACTGATAACAGCTTACATTTACTAAGCTCTTACTATCTGCCAGAGACTGTTCTAAGCACTTTACGTATTAACTCATTAATCCTCACAGCAACCCATTACATAGTTGAGAAAACAGAGGTTCAGAGATGAACGTACTTGCCCAAGACCACACAATTAGCAAACCCAGAAAAAACAACAACAGAACATTTATTCTGAAAAACACAGTATCCAAGATGACTGTGTCCATGCTATCTTTGTAAGTGTGTTATCTGAGTGTGGGCTGGATATTAGTGTAGTTAAGTTTGCTGCGCTATGTCGGCTCCGATGAGCAAAGTCTTTATGAAACTGCCTTGGAACGCTGTCCTCAGCCTTATATTGTTTTTCACTATTTATGAAATAATAAAGACAAAGAATATGCTCATAAAATCCTCTGGTTAAAGGAATCTGGGAGAAATAAACTAACATTAAAGTGAAACTTAAAGCATAAAGCTTTGCATTTAGTTTCCCCAAAATGTGCAATATAGAAATGGGGAAATGCTAACTTGGAAACAGTTTATATGAGAGGTGTTTATCAATGCACAAGTTTAATACAAACCGCTAATATTATGGGTGACTAAAAGAGCTAATGCAAACCTAATGCCCTAGGACACAGAGAACACATCAGCAACCATCTGTATACTCTTTATTACTTAGCCTACATCAATATTATGTTTATTTCTATGGTCAACACTTTCAGAGCTATATGATTTGTTTTAAAAATCACACATGCAAAGGTAAAAACAATGTCATGTGCTAAAACTGTGCTTAACAAAACCAAATAGAATAAGTGGTTTTCAAATACTCGAATAAGCGTTAATAAGAGAATTGGTTTTATTCGGTATCACTGCAGAGGGCAGATGTAAAATGAGGATGAAAAGCATTTCTTAACCTTACAGATTGCAAGGATTGAGCTACAGGGTATAAACTATCTGTAACAGCACCTGGCTAACAGTAAGTGCTCAGTAAGTTTTAGCAATTTTCATAGCAAATCACTGAAGGAATTAACAAGTAAGCCTTTATTTATGCTAAACACATAAAGTGAGATATGATACTTCATTAAATTCTTGCAACAATCCTAGGAGATCTGTTTAACTCTATTTTTCAGAAAAGAACCCAGAATTTTAGAGAAGTGATTGCTTGCCCTTGACTATATAGCTGCAAAGTGATAGAAACAGGATTCTAACTAGTTTCCCTGACTCCAAAGCCCAAGTTCTATCTTTTACTTTATTCCATATCTAGCAACCTAACAATGGAACAGGTTGTCTCACGAGGTGATGAACTCCATATATCTGACTGAAGTAGTTTTTAAAAGTTGAAGTATCACAATAAAGTGGTAAAATATCTATGAATAATACTACATGCAAGTTAACAACTTTTTTTTTTTTTTTGAGACAGAGACTCACTTTGTTACATAGGCTGGAGTGCAGTGGCACGATCTTAACTAACTGCAACCTCTGCCTCCCGGGTTCAAACGATTCCTATGCCTTAGCCTCCCCAGTAGCTGGGAATACAGGTGCACACCACCATACCTGGCTCGTTTTTGTAATTTTCGTAGAGACGGGGTTTCAACATATTGGCCAGGCTGGTCTCAAACTCCTGACCTCATGTGATCCGCCCACCTCAGCCTCCCAAAGTGCTAGGATTACAGGTGTGAGCTGCCATGCCCAGCCAAATTTGACTATTCTAAGTACATACCTCACATAAGTGGAATTATACAGTATTTGTCTTTCTAAAACTGTCTTATTTCACTTAACATGACATTTTCAACGTTCACTCATGGTATAGCATGTCTCAGAATTTCCCTCCGTCTTAAGGCTGAAAAATATTCTGCTTTATGCGTATACCACATTTTCCTTATCCAACCATCCACGGACGGGCACTTGGGTTGCTTCCATCTTTCAGCTATCCCTAATAATGTTGCTATGGACATTTCTGTATAAATATATCTTCAGGATCCTGCTTTCAATTATTTTAGATATATAGCCAGAGGTAGAATTGCTGAATCATATGGTAATTCTACTTTTGATTTTCTGAGGAACCACCATCCCATAGCGGCTGCCATTTCACATTCCCACCAACAGTGCCTACGTTTCAATTTCCCTACATCTTCGCTAACACCTGTTGTTTTGTGTCTTTTTTTCGCAGTAACTATCCTTAGGAATGTGAGGAGATATCTCACTATGGTTTCGATTTGCATTTCCCTAGTGATTAGTGATGCTGACGTGTTGCTTGGCTTCAACATTCTTAATTGGTAAAACAAGAAGTTGGCAACTGGATTAGTCTCTGTTTTTTCAACAGATTTATTGGTTATTGATATCTGAAAATCTGAAAACCACCAGTGTACTCTCTATGTCCTCTTCTCATCTAAAAATTACCCCATCCATTCCCTGCAGTCTGGCTTTGGCCCTCAATCTTCTCCTGACTTCTCTCACAAGAGTTAACAAATTAACTTGTAATTGCCAAATAGAATGGACCTTCTTCAGTCCTTATATCATTAGTGAAAAGCACAGAGTCTCTACAATCAAACCTAAAGTCCCACTTCCTTCAGCATAGTAGGACCTCAATAAATATAATTCCTACTCCTGGACTTCCCTAAGGGAGATTTCATTCCTTCCCATAGTTTCATTCTCTACCCTATGCAATGACTCCCAAACCTCTAGTACTCAGCCATGTCAGTGGACCATTAATAACGTGCAAGGCATTCTGCAATGGAGATATGGATAAATTAACTATGGCCTTGGCTCTCCAGGAGCATGTGGTTAGTAAGATATATACTTGTGCAATACAGTGTCACAGGTGCTATGAAGGAGCATGCTTAGAGCACAAAGAAAGGAATAATGATTCCCATATGACCTGGAATAAACAGGAAAGGTCTCATAGAGGAGAAACTTCAAGTGAATGAATATCAGAAGTAGTTACCAGGTAGCAGAGGGGAGATAGCTATTACATTATTTATCAATTCTTAAAATTAACGAAGAGAATATTTGAGGTAGGAAACCTTAGATAATCCTTTCAGAGGACCAGGTGAGGGCTGGTGAACTAAGAAACAGTGGAAAAGAAGAAAGGAGATACCACACAAGAAACATGATGGTATGAAATTGATGGGACTTGGTCACCAGTTAGATTTGAAGAACAAGGGAAAAGAGCTTAGGCTAACTTAGTAGGTTCTGTCTTGGATCAATAAATGGATGGTGGTAGCATGTACTAAGATTGGAAATGTAGGAAGAGGAACAGGTTACAAGGAAAAGATTAATTCAATTAGGGACACTGAATTTGTGGTCTTTCTGCGGCACATTCAGGTGCTTATAGAAAGAGATCAAGGACAGAGATGCAGATCTGTAAGACAGACATCGAGGCAGATGCATCAGGTGCCCTGCCAATATCCCTTCATACTCACCATTCCCATGCATGCCCTTTTAGGGGATTCCAACAGCAAGCATCTGCGAGTATTTGCCTGAGGGCTCCCGGCAGAACCCACAGGGTGGGTCTGCCGCCTCTGATACTAATGGCGATAATGAGGAGTGTCTGTTTAATAGATTTCTTTTTGGAGGTGAGGAAGATGTTCTGAAATTTAGGTAGTGGAGATGTGGCATAACTTTGTGAATATACTAAAAATCAGTCAATTCTACGCTTTTAAAAGGTGAATTTTAGTGCTCACTAAAGCGATACAGAGAAGACTAGCATGGCCCCTGTGCAAGGATGACATGCAAATTCATTAAGTGTTCCATATTAAAATTTTAAAAATAAAATAATAAAATAAATAAAAGATGAATTTATAGTGTTTTATTTATATCGCCATTTGTAACAATTGCATGAGAAAAAATATGTGGGCTGGACACAGTGGCTCATGCCTGAAATTCCAGCATTTTGGGAGGCTGAGGTGGATGGATCACAAGGTTAGGAGTTCGAGACCAGTCTGGCCAATATGGCGAAACCTTGTCTCTACTAAAAATACAAAAAAAAATAGCCAAGTGTGGTGGCAGGCACCTGTAATCCCAGCTACTTGGGAGACTGAGGCAGGAGAATTGCTTGAACTTGGGAGGCGGAGGTTGCCATAAGCCAAGATCGCACCACTGCACTCCAGCCTGGGCAACCGAGCAAGACTCTGTCTTGGAGAGATATATATATATTCACTATGGCTCAGCCCAACTCAACTATTTGGTCCACTAATATGCCAGATGTGTTCACATCTGTGTGCCTTTGCTTGCTATATTGCTTCCACCTAGAATTTTGAATATCTGTTTTCTCACACTCCTCTCTCCCATGTTTCCCTATCCTATTTTTTCTTCCAGGCTGAGCAAAAATCCTCCTTTTCCATGCATTCAGCCTTCCCCAGGTCAGGAATTTACCTTGTACTTCCCTGAAATCTTCTAACCCTTTATTTTATGTTCTGCTTTTTTTAAAACTCTCTTATCCGTATTATAGATTTTCTCATAGATTAGCTACTAAACTTCAGATTCCTGAGAACATGAGATGTTTTACCTACATATCCTATCATATGTCTTGTACCTGGTAGCCTCTCAAAAATATTTAGTGAATCAATATATCAAGGACTATAAAGTCTCAAGGGGAGTCTAGGAAAGAAACAAGCAAACTAAAATCAATTAGCCTTCAGCTAAATTAGTCATCATCATTTAAAGAGCATGTAAGGAAACAGTTTAAAATCTAGAAAAATATAATCAGAATTCTTTCTGGAAATACTTAAGGTTTTGAAATTTGAGCTGTCATGATAAGAGTACAGATTATAGTAAAATGCTCAGATCATTATATTCTGACTAACTATATTAAAAATAAACAAATACAAATCTATTTATTTTACCCTTACTAGAATACTTCAAGCTTTTAGTACAGAAAATGTCACAGTGACAGCTTCTGGTCTTTTGAGGCCCTGTGCAGTAAGATCTTTCTTGGATGATGGAAAAAGGAACTCGTTCTATGATCACAGAGGTTCCTGTTTCTTTTCAGTTCGTAAATCTTTCTAAATTTCCCTACATAGAATTCTCTGTGCTGCCAAAGGACAGGAGGAGATACAGAGATGTGGAAAGCTCTAATCTTCAGCATGAATAGTAATATTAACAGTTAACCCTTATTGACAATTCTCTGTGTGCCAGACTTTTAAAAAAGTGTTTTTCATGTATTATCTTATTTAATTCTAGAATAGTTCATGGAGGAAGAATTAATATCATCCCAGTTAACTGATGATGAAGAGACTGAAGCACATAGAGGCTAATTTGCCCCTGGTCACACAGCTTGTTAAATGGTGGAATCCTGGTGTATAACAAGACAGATGACATTATGTGCATAATACATTACATGTTTTTTATTTATTTCTCACAACAACACTGTGAGGTAATTATTTCCCCTCATTTTACATATAAGGGAATTGATTCTTAGTGAGATTAAGTAGCTTGAAACTACTAAATGGCAGAGCCGAGATTGTACTCTGTCTTTGAAATCCCATCCCAACCCTTTTCTTCTAACTGGTTCCTCTGGGCTGGGTAGGTTTCACGCTCCAGGAAGCGTCCCAACTCCTCTGTTTCAGTCAGTCCTGGTAGGATAATTTTGAGGAAGGGTATCCCTCTATTGCCCAGGCTGGAGTGTAGAGGCACAATCCCAGCTTATTGCAACCTCCACCTCTCCGATTCCAGTGATTCTCCTGCCTTAGCCTCCTGAGTAGCTGGGATTTACAGGCGCGCACCACCACACCTGGCTAATTTTTGTATTTTTAATAGTGATGGGGTTTCACCATTGGCCAGCCTGATCTCAAACTCCTAGGCTCAAGACCCCTGGGCTCAAGCAATCTTCCACCTCAGCCTCCCAAAGTGCCAGGATTCCAGGTGTGAGCTACCATACCTGGCCAGATAATTAACTCTAACACTGACTTCCTATTCAGACCTGTAGCACCTTTGTTCTCTTCCTCAGTTGGCTTTTTAAATATATTATAACCAATTTACGGCATTTTAAGAGGTGGTGGTGGTGGCGGTGGCGGTGGTGGTTGGAAAAAAGAGTCTTGTTCTGTCGCCAGGCTGGAGAGCAGTGGCGGGATCTCGGCTTACTGCAACCTCCGCCTCCCGGATTCAATCTATTCTCCTGTCTCATCCTCCTGAGTAGCTGGGACTACAGGTGCATGCTACCGCATCCAGCTAATTTTTTTTTTTTTTTTTTTTGAGATAGTGTCTTGCCCAGGCTGGAGTGGAATGTCACGATCTCTGCTCACTGCAACCTCCACCTCCCAGGTTCAAGCAATTCTCCTGCCTCAGCCTCCTGAGTAGCTGCAATTACAGGCACCTGCCATCATGCCCAGCTAATTTTTTGTATTTTTAGTAAAAACAGGGTTTCATCATGTTTACCAAGCTGGTCTCAAACTCCTGACCTCAGGTAATCCACCCTTCTTGGACTCTCAAAGTGCTGAAATTACAGGCATGAGCCACCATGCCCAGCCCGCATCCAGCTAAATTTTTTATGAAAGATTTTTTTAAATTAATACTCAGTTGAATAAAATCTAGAATAAAGCAATAATCCATAACTCAAGGGAATTTAATATAAATTTCATTTTAAATTTGATGAACACATTTATGCATTACCTACTCTTTCCTAGAGAAACTTATTTTGCAGCCACAAAGATAAACAGACATGATTGGAGGTGGTTAAGGTAATTGTTTTTTTACTGCAAATTATCTGAATATTCATATTTTTGTTTTTGTTTTTGCAACAGGGTCTTGATCTGTCATCTAGTGGTGCAATCTCAGCTCATTGCTACCTCCACTTCCCAGGTTCAGCGATCCTCCTGATTCTCCCACCTCAGCCTGTGGGTTAGCTGGGATTACAGGCACGTGCCACCATGCCCAGCTAATTTCTTTTTTTTTTGTTTGTATTTTTAGTAGAGACAGGGTTTGCCATATTGGCCAGGCCAGTCTCAAATGCCTGACCTCAAGTGATCTGCCCATCTTGGCCTCCCAAAGTGCTGGGATTACAGGAGTGAGCCACCACACCAGGCCTGAATATTCACTTTTAAGAACTGCATATGAAATCCTAGGTGGAACATATGCAGTAACCACTCCCTTTAGTTGCCAGCTTTTCTTAATCTTTTTAGTGAAGGCATCCTTATCACACCTCTTTTTGATTATATACTATGTTGTAAATATATATATTTAGCTTTATACAATTTTATACTTAGTTATATTACTGTTCATATATCTGCATGTATATTTCCTATATTTCCAGTCTTAGTGCATAGTAGTACCATCTATTTAGTCATTCAAGACACAAGCTACTCAGTCAGCCTAAACTCCATTCCCTTGTTCTCCATATCTAATTGGTGACCAAGTCCCATCAATTTCATATCATCATGTTTCTTGCATGCTATCTGTAAATATGTATCTGTGTATATATATATATGTGTGTGTGTGTGTGTGTGTGTGTGCAAATAAAGAAAAGGGAAGAGTTATATGGAATAAATAGAGAAAGTTTCATAAAAACAAATGAATGTGCCTGGCCCAGAGTTGGTTCTTTATACCCAAACAGAAGAATTTGGACGTGGTAAGGCAGGTGATAAGGAACAATTGCAGAGTTTATCATGTGGTACTTTAGGACTATTAGCCTAACTACTATCATCGAGATAAATCAAAAAAATTCACTGACTTCATCAACATTTATTGAGTACTGTGCTAAATGATGAATAGATAAAAATAATGGAGGGGCACAGTGGCTCATGCCTGTAATTCCAGCACTTTGGGAGGCTGCGGTGGGCAGATCATTTTTCCCCCCTGCATTTAGGTTTCTAAATCAGATGCCTCTGTTATCTCAAGTCACAAGAGTGTTGACTTGCTTTGCTTGTATTAGGTAACATATTTAAATGGCTATGTGGGTGTCATTAAGTCCAAGGAGCCCATTACCGCGGGACAAGACCTGGAACTGCAGCCACAGAAGAGCAAAATTTTAAATTCATTTCATAAAACACCACCAAGAAGAAAAATCCTTTCCATTTTGAGCATTCAGATATTTTCTCTCAAGGATTAAAACATTTCACATGGTAATATACTTACTTATTAAATCCAATCTTTATCTCTGTAATGCTCTTAGAACAGAAATGGAACACATTGAGGAAACCGTAGTTCACGTTAAGCAAAAAAATTAGATACAAAGATAGTTCTTTGCTCAAAGGTGCTGAAAGATTTATCCAAAGTGGAGGAGACCATTTTATTTTTAAAAAAAGAGAAGCAGAACAGTGGAAATAAAATGAAATATGTACAGTATATATCTTTATTTTCACACTTGCACACAAATACTTTAATTTCTGTATAACAGCAGTTTGATTTGTCTGGAAAAGTTACTTCTAGGAAGAGTAACTTCTGTCTCTTTAAGGACTACAACAGAAAATGGACGTTAATAGTGAGATAAGACTGGCTGTAAACTGCTCCAATGAGGTCCTGGGAATCTTGCTGAGAGGCGAAATGTGGGGCTGGACTAAAACGTCCGTTGGGAAGTGGAAAGAAGAAAAAGGCAAAGTTAAGCAAGAGAGTTCTTTAAAAAGGTAAACTTGAGTGCATCTACTTTCGATTTTAAAGTAAAAGATAGCTGAATAGGACTTTAATAACAAAAATATAGTAAGATTGAATTCGATACTGCTGGATGTAAGACATTTAGCAACTTCCAATTCCTGAGACTGTTTCAGAAATGTCTTTTTTAAAATAGCTTTAAGTAATCAAGGTTTTACACAATCTTACCTGCCTTA